TCTTCTTCTACTATTCCAGCCACCCTTTGACCCCAGCAGAACCACCAATCTAGATGCCACCACCTTCTCAGGATTTCTTCCCTTTTGATGTTTTCTTTGACCTTTTTGCATGGCTTAAATGCCATGCTTAATCATTAGATGACTCCCTTTGACACCCTTGCTTTTATCTCATGGCACTGTGTATGCTCAGTAAAATTATAATTCTGGCTGCACCCAACTCTACCTATTGCTGAAAGGAACTGGGGAAAAATCCTCAATCACGCTGGTGGTATTACTTTAAGTTCATGATTGCACATCTAAGTACAGCCTTCATGCTTCCCAACTTCTTTTATCCATCGATGTTCCTCTTCTGGTGACTACGTCACAATGTTTTCTGTCTTCAAGCCTTCCACACTTCATTGCCATCTTTACGGCTATTCATCCTACTCCACTGAGAATATTAACGCTCTCAGAAGATAACTTCCGTAGACTGTTACCATCATATCTACCCATAGACCAGCATCTGCACCCATATTCTCGGATTTTTTCTTATTAGTGCAGATGAACTATGCCTGTTCATTTCTGAAGCCAATCTTTCCTCAACAATCTTTTTTTTATAATTAAATAAAGCTGAACACTATATTTATTTATTTTTTAAATATATTTTTATTGATTTCCGAGAGAAAGGAAGACGAAGAGAGAGATAGAAGCATCCATGATGAGAGAGAATCATTGATTGGCTGCCTCCTGCAAGTCCCCCACTGGGGATCGAGCCCACAACCCAGGCATGTGCCCTTGACCAGAATAGAACCTGGGACCTTTCAGTTCGAAGGCTGACGCTCTATCCATTAAGCCAAACCGGCTAGGGCTGAACACTATATTTATTACTGTCTTAAAATCCTTTTGTGAGACCTATTTGTCTGTATTAGTAATAAACAGGGTAGTCAAGGTGAAAACAATGAACTGAATACTGTATACTAAAACCTAAATTTAGCCATGACTTTCAACTTTTCCATGCTAGGCAGGAAAGATGCAGATTGGATTGATTTCAGAATTCTTCCCTCTCCCTTCTGCACAGCAGTGAAGTGGTCAAATGGAGGCAGCAGGAAAGTGAATGAGAATGAAAACCGCACAAAGTGAAGTCGTTTTTGAATAATTGAAAGTTGAATAGGAATTTTTTTCAACCTAATTTTTTAAAAGGGAAAGGGCAAAGAAAACAGATAAAGAAGTCTATTATGTCTTTTCTTCTTCAAGATATTCATATTTGGTTAATGCAATTATCAATAATTCCATTGCACTAGGATCTTTGTTTCTAAGGTATTTTAAGTTCCAAATTCAGAAATGTCATTTCTCATTTGACAGTATTTCTGTGGACATATTCAAAAGAGATTTTGTGATATAGTTACTGAAGTAAACATATTGGGAAAATATTACTGCAATGTCCTAATTTGGATGGTAAACATTTATCGATGTCATCTGCTATTTGTGAATAGGGCAGTTGTCCATTTTTAAAAATAAATATGCCATTTTGCTTATAAAACACAGTGCTTCTTGTGTAACTAGTTTAGGATACATTCCTCATTGGTTGTTCAGCCTAGGTTTGAATCTAGTCTAAACATAATGAGCTTGAATCTCCAGGGATTCCCAAAAGAATGCAATTGTGATGCCCTTAAATAAGGGCTGCGTTAGAAAGCCTATGTGATGTGTCAACTGAAAAATAGGGATTAGAACTTGCGTTGTACTAGGTATGGTCTACAAATATTTGATCTGATTTTCTCCAGTAATCACAAGTAAAAATAATTGGAATAAGATAAATTGTTAAAGTAAAAGATATTTATCTCCCTATTTCTGAATAAATAAATTTGAAAATCAGTACATAATCCATCTCAGAAAATGTGTATGTATGTATATTTAACATATAATTTATATATATATATATATATATATATATATATATATATATATATAACCTTTTTAATTATTCAAAGATACTGTGTAATTTATATATATATATATATATATATATATATATATATATATATATAACCTTTTTAATTATTCAAAGATACTGTGTTTCAGAGAATCAGGCAGACCAATCTCAAAGATTGGTAATGAAAATGTGAGTTCTACAATAAGTCTAACATCATTTTAATAGGAAGTAACATAATGGGGTAAAGAGGAACAGGAGATATGATGTTGAAAAATTGAATTAAATCCCACCTATATCCATTTCCATCTATAAACACTCATTAAGTATTTAAGTAAGTCACTTAATTCTTGTGAATGTGTGGTTTTTCATCCATGAAATGAAAATAATGTTGCTTAATATATCTTCCTCACAAGATTAATAGAAGAATGAAATTATTTTATACAATGGCATACACAAGTTTGTTACCTTTCATTTTATTAATACGTGAATTTAATATAGTATTTATTAGGTACGTGTTAAGTGCCAGACATGCTACTAAGTGCTTTACATTAATACCAGCTAATACTCACAACACTCAAATATTATAATGTCTAAAATTACATGGCTAGTTAAGTGATAATACAGGATTCAGTCACCTTGCCAACCTGTGCTTTTAACTACTATGCTATCTTACCTCTCCATGTTTAGATTGAACTACAAGATGGGTTTATGTTCTAAGAACTTTTCCTAAATTCAAAAATCCCAGCTCTCATAAGCAAATTAAGATAGCTATAAGAACCTCAGCAAAAATATAAAAATATTGCTCAGTACAAACTAGTTATACAGCATGTCCCAAAAAAATGTATACGCACTTTAACAGCTGATAGCTCAATTTTGACAATGAAATGTGTTTTAAAAAACACCGCATTTATAATTATTCAACGTGTGTGTATACATTATTGGGATACCTTATATTTTTATATTATAAGATATAAATATATCTATAAATATGCATATTCATACATATCTTTTTATAACTTATCCCCCATCTGCAAGAGCATTTATGTCAGCTACTATATTGATCAAATATTGGGATATTCTTCCATCATACTAATTCCTACCACTTTGCTGTGTTTTCCTAACTCAATAAATTTTACAAGTTTATACCTCAAGCCAGCTCGTTTTCACCTGATTGTTGGTTCCTTTTTGACTGCTACCCTCTGCTTCTATTTATTTCTAATAACTATAGATAACATTTATGCAGCACTTCCTGCTAATTAATTTATCTGATTTATCTTTTTTAATCCTCACTGCAACTCTCTGATGAAACCATTCATTTAATCACCATTTTTTAGAATAGGAAATTAGAACATTATACATTTAAATGACTTGCCTAAGGTTACCCAACCTGTTTGGGTAATAAAGTTAGGATTCCATCGTCATCCAAGAGACTCTGCTCTGAACAATTTAAGGTTTAAACTGTGAACATAATACAGGTTTTATAAAAAATAATGTAGCAGCATTTTCAACACAGCAGGGAATTCCATTTTCGGTAGACGATAAGGAGACAGAGTCTTTTCCTTAATATCGTGTTCTATTTTGCTCTGCTTTCATATTTTGGTTTACACATACTTTCAAAAAATATCATTCTATGGCAGTGTGGACAGAAGCATCGGGCCCACAGTGTGTAATGAGCCCAGATTGGTGACTGAACAGAAAGAGCTAAAGGGAGGAAGATAGAAGCCTTACCCCCTGTTGGTTGCAGACATCCAAAGTAAATATAAATACTAAGGAAGGGTTAGCTTATTGACTTCTTTGACATTTTGTTAATGTCTAGTTAATGAGGGCAGCTCTGGGTGTTACATCTTTCCAAAAAGGAGAATTGTTCTTTCTCATTCAGTTCATACATAATGGAGCTCTTAAACTTGGGTTCTCCTTAAGAAGGCAAAATACTTTAGCAATGATGTTAGGACAGCATGCTTTCTGATGAACTTTCACGTAGGGAAGAATAGCATGAGAAATGCCCTCAACCCTACTTGACACTGAATAAACCACCTGCTGCTTCCTGGGCGTCCAGGTCCTGTGGTCACGTGGTCTAGGTCGCTGACTCTAGGCAGGCGGAGGGTTTTCTTTCTTAAGTATCTATCTACAAAAGTTCAACTAAATCCTGTCACAAAATGTTTCTCCTCCCTCTGTCAGATATGAAGTATTCAGGAGGACTGGTATTTTGTGGACATTTTTATATCCTTAATAACAGTTTCAGAAATTGAGAGCAGGTAGTACGGCAGGCATATAGGAATTGCTCCATATGCTAGTAGCTGTTTTCTCTTCTAAACGTTTGCAGGGGTTGCTATATTTGATTCATTTGTATCAGTTGACTGAAATGCCCTCCACATCTTTTATTCCTGACACTCGTGTTTCGGATTCGGTTTTGTGGCTTACTAATTTTCAGGAAGAAAAACTTGTGTTTTTCTGTCACATCGCCAACAGCACAGCTGTGACGGCAGATGAGCAGTTCTCCAAGGGCAGGTATGGAGGCTGCTATCTCAGAGCCTCCAGAGAGGACCTGAGAGGGGCTGCTCACCTCTTCACCCTCCAGGCGGATGCAGAGCTGCATCGGTGCCAACAGATAGAATTGCATAAGATTCGTTAGAGCACAGTATTAGTTTGGGAATATCCATTGGTTTTGTGATTTGTCCTTAGGTATTTTTCAGATGCATGTGTTCAGTCTTCCCAATCTTATAAAATGAAGGGAGCAAATATTTTTATCTTCTGTTTTCTTGTATCTGCTGATTTCCCCTTTTTCCTGTAGTGGCACTATAATAACTAAATAAATCCAAACTATTTTTATTTCTTTCGATATGTAAAGAGTCAAAATCTATCTTATACCAAACACACAATTGTCCTCAAATTTTTATCCAATTTCCAATTATTGCTATCATAAAATATGTATATATGATGAAAATATATATAACATTAAGTTATTATTTTTACTTAAATAATAATACCCACAGTGTTTATACTGTATAATTAATTATTCTTAATATTATCCTTATAGCTTAGAGAATTTTGACTGGAACATTTTCATGTATTTTTTTCTTTTACATTTTAGGTGTACAAGATTTTCCAGAGAGCATAAAGTGCTGTAAGTGTTTAACAATTATTGAAGCCAGTGTCAATCCCATTTCTAAGTGAGTATGAGTGATTTCATTTTATTTTTTGTATGTTTCCAATGGAATAATGTACCAAAAAAAGAAATTCACATAATAAATTAATTTTAAATGCTGCACTTAAGACTCTATTCAATAGAATGATGGGAAAGGACTAATCAAATCAGAATAATTCACCAAAAGATTATTAAAAGCACTGCTGGATAACAATGAAGGCCTAATTGGTGCAAGTGGGCATTACTTTGAAGCAAACTGTGTCATTATTTTTCTGTGGGTCTCTGGCAACATTCTATGGAAGAACACTGAAACTAAGGAAACAGTCAGTAGTATGGCCATGGTGGAAAATTAGCATCAAGGATCTGATGAAAGTTCAAACAAGTGCAAGAATTTTATGAAAATAGCTAATCATGTACTTCAAGCTGGAAAAGGAATTAACCATGATAAAAAAGATAGTATTTGTGTACCTGAGGTTATAGGAAGAGCAAAAAGACAATCCAATGAGGATAGCAGAATGGAAGAAATGCATGGTAAAGATGCTGTGATAAGACATAGGGTATTTGTGGTTGGTGACCACCTGTGTGACCACCTTGGCAAATTAGTTGTCACAGTGATAGAGTGTACTGTGGATCAAAAAGGCCTTGCAACCATGAGGTGAATGGATCGGAGGAGCCATGAACCTCAATGTCATAGTCAATTAGCAATGTAAGTGGTCTTAAAATCTAGAAAGGCTATAACTATTGTAGTAATATTTGGAAGAGGTTGAAACAAGTAGTGAAATTGGGATGCAAAGAATGAGTTTCAGAGTAAGAATGACATTTTAATTATACAAAAATTGAAAGTAGGATTTGAGAAAACTTCCTTAATCCTTGGTCCACATGATGTTGGAGAGACTGAGAGAAACTGAAGCCCACTGGAAAGTCATTTGATAAATGAAAGGAAGTTTATTCTAGGAAATTTGGGGGGAAATTTTTACCAACTGAGAGGAAGTAGTGAGCATGGTTTCTCTATGGATCATGAGAAATGGCTGTAGATAAAAATGGAATGGAATGTAAAAGAAGGAGACTGAAGTTAGGAGGGAGGTCTTTACACCGGCAATTTATTAGCGTTCCCTTTGTTTTCATCTTTCTCCGAATTTGATACTATCTTTTTTTTTCCTATTTAGCCAGTCTAGTAGATATGATATCTCATGGTAGTAGCTCACAGTAATTTAATTTACATTTTTAATGTCCAAGTAGCATCTCTCCATGTACTTATTATTTACAATCTATATTAGTTCTTTTTGTTAATATGGTACCAATTCTAGTATACCCAATCCACCTATGTACAGCATTCTCTTTATTTATTTTTAATTTTTTAAATTTTATTGTTGAGATTATTACAGATATCCCTCTCCCCCCCCCCCCACCATTGCCCCCATCCACCAGGTTCCCGCCCGCCCCAGGCCTTTGCCACCCTATCGTCTGTGTCCAAAGGTAATGCATATATGCATATAAGATCTTTGTTTCATCTCTTCCCACCCGCCCACCGCCTTCCCTCTGAGAATTGTAAGTCTGTTCCATTTCCATGCCTCTGATTCTATTTTATTCACAAGTTTATTCTGTTCATTAGATTTATTTGTTTATTTTGATTTTTAGATTCAATTGTTGATAGGTATGTATTTGTTGCCATTTTGTTGTTCATATTTTTTATCTTTTTCTTCTTCCTCCTCTTCTTAAAGAATACCCTTCAATATTTCATATAATACTGGTTTGGTGGTGATGAATCCCTTTAGCTTTTTCTGATCTGTGAAGCGCTTTATCTGACCTTCAATTCTAAATTATAGCTTTGCTGGGTGAAGTAATCTTGGTAGTAGGCCCTTGCTATTCATCGTTTATTTCTTGCCACTCTCTTCTGGCCTGCATGGTTTCTGTTGAAAAGTCATCTGACAGTTGTATGGGCACTCCCTTGTAGGTAAATAACTGCTTTTCTCTTACTGCTTTTAAGATTCTCTCTTTGTCTTTAGCCCTAGGCATTTTAATGATGATGTGTCTTGGTGTGGTCCTCTTTGGGTTCCTCTTATTTGGGACTCTCTGTGCTTCCTGGACTTGTAAGTCTATTTCTTTCAGCAGGTAGGGAGACTTTTCTGTCATTATTTCTTCAAACAGGTCCTCAATATCTTGCTCTGTCTCCTCTGGCATCCCCACAATGCAAATTTTGATATGCTTGAAGTTGTCCCAGAGGTTCCTTATAGCATTCTCACATTTTTGGATTTTTTTTTTCCTTTTTGCTCTTCTGGTTGGGTGTTTTTTGCTTCCTCATATTTCAAATCATTGATTTTATTCTCACAAACCTCCACTCCACTGCTGAATCCCTGTATATTATTCTTTATTTCAGTCAGTATACGATTAATTTCTAAATGGTCCTTTTCCTTTTTTCTTTTTTTTTTTTTTTAGAAGTTTCTAGAAGATTCTTGAGTAACCTTATAACCATGGTTTTGAACTCTATATCCAGTAGTCTTCTCTCTTCCATTTCTTTCATTTGAAACATTCCTCCCTGTCTCCGCATTTTGGCTACTTCTCTGTGTTTGTTTCTATGTATTGGGTAGAGCTGTTATGTCTCCTTGAGTTGGTAAAGTGGCCTTGTGTAGTAGGTGTCCTATAGGGCCTAGTGGCTCAGCCTCCCCAGTCACCTGAGCTGGGAGCTCTAGGTGCACCGCTTTGAGGGCTGTGAGCACAGTCTTGTAGTTGAGACTTGATTGCTGTTGGTGTCACTGGGAGGAATTGACCTTCAGGCCAAGTGGCTGTGAGGACCAGCTGCGACTACAGTGGGAGAGCTGCTGTGCAGTAGACACCCCTGTGGAGCAGGACTTGCTTCAGTGAGGTTTTGGTGCTCTCTGAGTCTGCCCTTTGAGTGTGTTGCTTATGGATGTGTAGAGTTGTAATCTGGTATGGTCCCACACTGACTACTGGGTACACTGGCTCTTAGGTGTCCAGGGAGGTGCAAAGAAAGCCACTGCCTAGGGCCACCCAGCAGGAGGTACAGAGACATCTGCAGATTCCTCCTCTTTGTGTCAGTTTGGAAGTGCCCAGACGAGGTTCATCTGTGAAGCAAGGCAGGCTGGTGCTGGTGCTGGGTCTTGGGCCTTTTATTGATAGGTTTTGGGCTCCCTAATCCAGCTGAAGCTTGTTTGAGAGATTTTGCCCTGAGCAAGGAAAGGCCATTAATATGTAAAAGCTGCTGCTGCACACAGCTTGGGTGAGGTTATAAATTGGATGAGCTGGCGTCTCAGGGAATCACCAGGGTGGAGCAAAAGGAAATGGCTGCCAGTCAGCCCTGTGACTGGAGAGGTCCCAGCATAGGAACAATGATCCTTGAGAGCACCTCTGTCTGGGAGGAAGCTGCCCCCAAGTTCCTGCCCCGATTCCAGACAGTCCAGTTCCTCCTCGTATGTGTCTGGGTCCCCCAGAGCCTGGCCCAGCACTGGAGCTCAGAGGGAGCGGAAGCATGTAAGTTCAGCTTGTGGTGCCGGCCTTTTAAGAGAAGCAGCTGGGTCTCCAGCAGCCTCTGTGTCACTAAGCCCCAATCCACACTGGTTTTTACAGCCCATAGTTCTTACTGCCCATAGGGACTTCTTTTCCCAGCTCTGGGACCCTGGGCAGGAGGTCTGGTGTGGGGTTGGGACCACTTGCTCCTCTAGGCAGCCTCCATAGAGGCAATCTCCCTTCTGATTAAAAAAGCAGCCCACGTGGGTGCCAGACCAGCCTGTTTTGCGCCTCTGCACCTCCTACCAGCCTGTGTGCTTTCTTCTTTCCCTCTCTAATTGTAGGACTTCTATTCAGCCAGCTTTCCATCAATTCTGGATGATGATTGTTCTGTATTTTAGTTGTAATTTTGATGTGGTTGTGGGAGGCGGTGAGTACAGGCATTTAACTATGCCACCATCTTAGACAATCTGTATTAGTTCTTAAATAAAAGTTCAGGATTTTGTTCATTTATATTGACTTGTTTTTTATTATTGGTTTACTAGAAATTGTTATATATTCTGGCTAAAAGTTCATCATATATTTGTTTGTAAATCATTGCTCCTATTCTGTGACATGTCTTTTCATTTTCTATTGATTTTCAAAGAGAAGTTTTTAATTTTGAAGAAGTCCTATTTAAATAAATTTTAATGACTTATACTTCACGCTCCTATCTAGTGATCTTAGCTAAATTCATAGTTATAAAGATTTTCTCCTATGTTTTTCTCTGGAACTTTTATAGTTTAGGTTTTACACTGAGGTCTATGATCCATTTAAAGCTGAATTTTATATATGGATAAAGTGTGTGGGTCATTTTTTTGGGTTTTTTTGCAGGTTGGTTGGTTGGTTTGCATATGGTCTCCAATTGTTCCAGTACTCTTTGTTAAGAAGATTATCCTTTCTTCATAAAATCACCTGATCCTTTTTTATAAATCAGTTGATCATATGTGTTTGGTTCCATTTCTGAGTTATCTGTTTTGTAAAGTGCTCTATATGCCATCTTCTTACATCCGTTCTATACACTTAATTACTATAGCTTTGTAGGAATTCATACAGTCGGGGAATGGGAGTCCTTCAACTTTGTTCCTCTTTATCAAAATATTTGGGATGGTCTGTGCTCTTTGGTTTTTCATATAAATTTCATAATCAGTTTGCCAATATTTACAAAAATAAAAAAATCCTTCTGGAATTTTGATAAGGATTGCACTGCATCTGTGGTTCAATTCGGACAGAGTTGTTTCAGAAATATTGAGTATATCTATCCCTAAGCATAGCTTATCTGAATACTTATTTCGACCTTTAAAAAATTATTTTATTGATATTTTATAGATTTCAGCATATAAATCTTGTACATGTTTTGTTCATTTTATTTCCAGTATTATATGCTTTTTGTTCAATTGCAAATGATTTTTCCATTATTTAATTGTTTATTGCTGCTGTATAGAAATACAATTGATTTTTAAATATGGACCTTATGTCCTGCAACCTCACTAAATTCACTAAATAGTTCTAGTAGATATT